AGAGCTACATCGCCTACAAGCTGGTGCCCAGCCACACCGGGCAGCAGGTACACCGTCGCTACAAGCACTTCGACTGGCTTTACGGGCGGCTGGCCGAGAAGTTCCCTGTCATCTCTGTGCCCCACTTGCCGGAGAAGCAGGCCACCGGCCGCTTCGAGGAGGACTTCATCTCCAAACGTCGCAAAGGCCTGGCCTGGTGGATGGGACACATGTGCAGCCACCCCGTGCTGGCTCAGTGCGACGCCTTCCAGCACTTCCTCACCTGCCCCAGCACAGATGAGAAGGCCTGGAAACAAGGCAAGCGCAAGGCTGAGAAGGATGAGATGGTGGGTGCCAACTTTTTCCTGACCATCAGTGTCCCCACTGGCCCTGGGGCTGGCCTGGACTTGCAGGAGGTGGAGAGCCAGGTGGATGGCTTCAAAGCCTTCACGAAGAAGATGGACGAGAGTGCCCTGCAGCTTAATCACACGGCCAACGAATTCGCCCGCAAACAAGTCACTGGTTTCAAGAAGGAATACCAGAAGGTGGGGCACTCCTTCAAGTGCCTCAGTCAGGCATTTGAGCTGGACCAGCAGGCCTTTTCGGCTGGCCTCAACCAAGCCATAGCCTTCACTGCAGAAGCCTACGATGCCATTGGGGACCTCTTTGCAGATCAGCCCCGGCAGGACCTAGATCCTGTGATGGATTTGTTAGCGCTGTATCAGGGCCATTTGGCCAACTTTCCAGACATCATCCACGTCCAGAAAGGTAACACCCTTATGTATTTTCTGAAACGGTGAAGGTTTATGTATCAGTGGTGTGTACACAGATGTCGGGACCAAGATTTAAATTTGCCTTATGTCTGGTTTGCTGGCCTTAGGTTAAATCTTTCTGTGTTTACTCAGGTAAACTAAAAATATAAAGAGTGCATCAGTGACAGTTTGTGTTCCGTGCCAAAGGTTTAGATGTATTTGGGAATTTTACTAGTCAAAGGCTGCTGCATTTGGCTGTGTTTCTGAAAGAAACCACATCTGTGTCTACTGCTGATACATTAAAGGTTAACGTGCTTGTTTATAAATCCTGGAAGTCAAGTGATATGAAAAGATCTGTTACTCTTTGATGTACCTTAGGTATCTTTTATCTCTGAGTTAGTAGATAATAAATGTGAAGTAATATGAAGATGCAGGGATTCCTTCAACTGACCACCCTGTTTGAGGTGCGCACTGTGGCGTTGTGTGTGTTTTCTACTGTCAGTCAGATGAGAGGCTTAAATCTGGTGAGAATTTTTTGAGTTTGGCCATGCATTAAGCTCTCAAGGTGCCTCAGAGAGAGTAACCGTCTGATACAGTGTTTTTAGTTGGGTTTGTTCATCCTTTGCCCTTATTGTCATAAAAAGGTGTTGCTCACTTGTTATTCTTTCAGCATCTTTCTTGCAGAAACACTTCTGAGCTTCAGGTTGCTGTTTGTTTGGTACTTTGCGATTCATCAGAAAGAAAGAAAACTACAAAAATTGCAGAATCATCTGCTTATTCACCTAAGTAGAAGTTTGTAGCACTATATATGCATTTCCCTGCTGTGAAATTAATGATATTGATATATTCTTCACTGCTGTGAGAAGGCTACCCGATCATTCATTCTTTTTGCCGTTATATTCCTTACCTATGTTTTTAAACTTGGCGATTGGGAGTGGGGATTGGAGCTTTCGAAGAGGCCAAAAAAACATCACATATGCTCTGCAGAAATGGGTGTGTAGCAGTTTCCTGAGCTTTATTGAAAATTATTTTGGAGACTAATAAATGGTGTTCTGCGTCCCAAGAGTCAGAGCTTGACTAGTCGTCCATGGTGAATGAGTCATTTGTGCCCTTACATGACATTTCCAGCATTTTTGCGTCTGGAACTGTACCTCGAGATTGATAATAAAAGAATTGGAAGAGTTTTTTCCTGGCTTCCAGGAGTTATGCATTATTGCTGTGGAAATCTGAGGAAACAGTTGGAATGAAGTGCACAATTTGCTGTTGTTTAAGAAAGTAAGCTTTTCATAAAAATTGCATGCCTCAAAGTCAGATTTACCTTTTCCTACTGAATCTTGAAAATTGCGAGTGGAAATTTAAACAGTATTATTTTTGAGAGAGAATGGAAGTGTGCTGTCTAAACTTTGAGATTTGTTCTGCTAGCTGCTGTGGCGTTAATGTTCTGGTAACAGCTTTTAAGTACTTCAGGTTTGGAGAGAAGGGTGGTCTTGACAATGCCTCATGTCGGGGAGTAGAGCATTTAAAGCGAGTTGTCAAAATCCTATAATAGGATTATGTACAGGCTTCTCAGGGCGGGGGGAGGAAAAGAAAGGAAAAGATTTTTTGATAAGGTGGATTATAAATACTATTTAAATAATATATCCTGAAGCTTTATGGCTGTGTATAGTTCTTCAATGCAGACTTTGAAGAGAGAATTGGGAATAGTAAGATACACACTTGACCTTGCTTCTTTTAAGTCTTCGGTTTGCATTGTTGTGTACTGCTTAGGTTTACCTTGATGAAGTGAGGAAAGTTCAGCAGTGTATGAGCATGGCATGCGTAGAGCAGATCTTCGTGCCAGAGCACCGTCGTGGAGCTGGCTGGAGAAACATACAGCTTGTCTGTATGGAGGTGTGTGTGCTCCAACACCTCTCGGATAGCACTACCTTGAACGCATTGTTGTCCCTGGTATGCACTTAGTACCAGAAAATGGCATCGGCTTCAGAAGTTGGTCTCTGTGGCATCCACATTTATGATAGGATCAGGGTGAGGACCAGGCTACATGTTTGTCATTGTTTCCTGTTGCAAAACAGGCAAGCTGGAGGAATACAGAGGAAGCTGTTTTTTACACCCAGTATATTGCTGGTTCATTACTCTTAAGAGTTACTTGTAACAAGGTATAACTTCTTAATTCCAAATTGTAAACTTTGGATGAAAATATGAACCATTTGGTGTCCTTGCAACAGAAGAACTTCATATGGAGTTTACTATCTGGGATAGTTGCCAGTTTTGAGAATTATTATTGTCTGTAGAGACTAAACAAGTATCTGTTGGTGATAACAGATCATCTGAAAACAGTTGACATGTCTTTCTTCAAGTGGTTGGTTTTTTTCCTTTTTGCAGTAGAATGATCCCAAAGTGTCCTTCAAAGTGGTTAGAGAGAGCAGTCTGGTTGATGCATTGCTTACATGGCTGTGCCTTTAAAAAGATGAACTCTGAAGTTAGGAGTACTTCCTTTTTTTTTTTTTTTTCCTACAAAGTCCAAATATATTGTCCACTTGGGATAAAAAACAAGGCCCTTTCTAGACTCCGTTTCTGTATTCCTCTAGACCTGAGAAGAAGCAAAAAGCAAAGGCTGCTGTGCCCAAAACACGCCTCTGTCTGAGGGCAGAATATTCTACTGCGTTGTCCTGTTATGAGTTGGCTCTACAGCAGATAGTTGTACCGCTGCTGAATGTGATTTGAAAGTGTTTTGTGGTATGGACTGAGAAGTCTGCATGTGGAGGGGGTTTCTAATAATTTCTGCAACTTCTGCAAAAAGAAGGGCAAAGAATCTGTAAGAGACAAAAATTTCGCACCCTTTCAGCGTTGTCTTTTCACCTAGAATTATGAACCAAAGCCATGTAAGCCCTGCTGTTGCTTTGTCTGTGTATCAGCAGGAAAATGTGTTAACTGTTGTGCTTTTAATTGCTCTGGGGTCCAGATCTTTCTCCCTCCTGTGCTGAGGACATGATACGTGATCTGAAGTACTCAGAAAGGGATTGTTATTTTGTGTAAAATCATGTGAACCAATGGACCGTGAGAGTATTTTCAAACTGGTTATTATCTTACTAATGTTGTATGAAGTAGCAATAGCTTCAGTAGGAGATTTTTAAAAGATTCTTTTTCCTCTGACCTTCATCTTTAGCGCCCAGTGTTTGAGAAATTTTCCGCAAGGGAAGGAGTAGTTCAGAGAGACAGAAGGTGGATTTGAACTTTTATGTCCCACTTGTCAGTTGAAGATCAACTTTGTGAAAGACTTGACCTGGTTTCATGTGGGCTCCAGTCCAGATTGAACCCCAAAGCGAAGAGTGTGCAAAGTTGGAAACCCCACATTTCCGTCTGGACGCCTTTGGTTTGAGAGTCCCACTGTGGCTGACACAGAGCATATCAGCCCCAAGGCATACAGCACTTATAAATGACCTGTTTATTTCATGTGTTTTGTTTTGAAAACTAAGCGATTAGGGAAAAACTAGCACCTGCAAGGGTAGATGGAGGTAAAGTGGTGTCTTGAGCATCTAAGCACCCAAATACTTGTAGGAACCCAGGCCTCAGCCCCGCATTGGCAAAAGGGCTTGTGTGAAGGGATTCTGTGCATACATGTGGGTTTTTTGGAGTGGAAGATCCAAATGTGTTAGACAAATAGACTTGTACTCAATTTTCTTTAGTCTCTGGCAAAACATTTAGGGAAGAGGGATACTAAGTTCAGTAGGCTTGAGAAAGAAGCTGCACTTTTAATATTTTCTTTTACAGAACTGGTGTGTCTTTCAAGAAATACTAGATTCAGTTGCTGTAAGTGTTGAGAAGAAAAGCAGCCTCATAACTTCGTTTCTGTGTTTTTAAGGTCTACTTGTGGAAATTCCCTAGACATTCTTGGCAAAATAATTCCTAAATATTAATTACTAGAGATTCACTCAACTGATGCAATCTTCTGACTTCTGTAATCTTCAACATAAATGCTCACTGCAGGCCCATGCAAGTTCAGACTGAGCAAATTGATGATACTGTATCCTGTTACTTTACCTTATGCTTTTCTGGCCATTTTTTATTCATATTTGCTTAGTGAGAGTAGAGAAGTTAGAGATTTTCAGATTTTGTTTGAAGAATTACTATAATCGACCTTCTATGATTCCTAAAAGTGGAAGAAATTCTAACTTGCTGTTTCATCTCTGCTTCCTAGGTTTTTTCTTTCTCTTAACATGATAATGTTAAAGCTAGACAAACTTTAGATTGTGATTTTTGCAAAAAGACAAGAAAATTACCTAAATGTTTTCTAAGATGTAGGGAGCAATTCTATTTGCTCTGCATGCCAAGATTTAAGAGTATTATTTAAATGAATATCTGAATGACCTGTTTGCTTCTTGATCACTGTTTGTGAAAAGTAAAATAAGACAAATGGTCTTATCTACCTGTAGCAAACTTAATTCTAGATATTGGCTGTAAAGAATGTGCTGGGTGTGATTTTAGGATGTCTTACAAAATTATAGGTGAATAAACATTCCAGCTGGAAATGCTTCAAACTTTCAAGGATCAAAAAAACCCAAACAGCGTTGAAACCTGGATCTCCCTCTAACATTTTCAGCAATGGTTTGTTACTGGGGCCAAAAATTCACTGGGTCAAAATTTACTGGGTCAAAATTCACACCTAGAATTTTACATCACAGTGCAAAAGTGATGCTTTTCACTCTTGCTTGCTTTCTGACCTCTTTGATTTGTTGTTCAGACATGTTTTTTTTCATCCTAGCCTTTCCTTTTATCCAGCTTTTTTTTTCCCATTTTTTTCCTCCCCCCATCCTTCAGATACATACACTTTGCCTGGGGTTCAATGCAGGTAACTACTGGCTAAGAGCTAGGTGTGTAATCCTAGCCAGATGACCCGTAACAACAGTAAGAAGAGATGGGTACTACATTTCATCTGTGTAAGGGCTTCCATGAGAAAGCATGGATTGCTCCGGGGTGGCTTCTGGTTTTTCACCCTGCCGGCCTTGGCACCCCTGT